CCCCCCCCGCCTCGTCGAGGAGCCGGGGCACCTCGGCGACCCCGGAGACCGGCCGGGAGCGCGGGCTCGCTCACCGAGTTTCCCACAGTCAACCGTCACGCCTCGTCGCCGCCTAACTCTCTCACCTCAACCTCGGCCCCGCCCCTTCCCCGCAGCCGGAACCGGAAGCTCCCGCCGGGTCCCGCCCCGCCCCCAACCGCCGCGATGCCCCGGAGGCCCCTCCCAAGGCGGTTTTCCGCCCCGCCCCCGAGCCGAGGCTCCGACGCCCAGGACTGGGGAAGAAGCTGCGCCTCGGGCGCGCGGGGAGTCGGGGCGAGGCCTTGGCGGGAAGGCGAGGTGCAGCTTCTCTAGCCCACGCGGTCCTCCCACGTCTCTGTGGTCCGGGGAGGGGGCGGGGCCCAACCGTGGGGCGAGAACGGGGTGGGGCGCCCCGCGCCCTGGCTCCGCCTCCCACCCCTCCTCCGCCTCCTCCCCTTCCCCCGAGTTCCCCCTGGGGAAGAGTGGGTGGGTAGGTGGGGATTCCCGGCGGGTGGCGGAGTCACAGTCGCTTCAGCCAGGCTGCGGAGCGGACGGACGCGCCCGGTGCCCCGGGGGAGGAGGAGGAGGTGGAGAGGAAAAGACGCCCTCTCTGCCCGAGACCTCTGGAGGCTCTGACCCCAGGGGCCAGGGGACTGACAAGTTCCTCCACCTCGGCTGCCTGAAGAGGCCGCGACCCTGGAGGCCCCTGAGACCACCGCACCAGGGGGCCCAGCACCACCCGGGTGGCCTAAAGCGACAGTATCAGGGACCACTGCGAGGTTTCCAGTTGCCTAGACAACGAGCCTGGGGTCAGAGCCACCACCCTTCCAGCCACCTGCCTCCTCTGCTGCCTCAGGCACCAGTCCCAGACCCGTGAGTCCAGCCCAGGTGACATGACGGTGCTCTCGACCCCCCGGCCCTCGCGGGTGACCACGCTGAAGCGCACAGCTGTGGTCCTAGCCCTCACGGCCTATGGAGCCCACAAAATCTACCCCCTGGTGCGGCAGTGCCTGGCTCCGGCCAGGGGCCCTCAGACGCCGGCTGGGGAGTCCGCGCAGGAGGCCTCCGGGGCCACGGTGGGCGCAGCGGCCAAGGCCGGTGTCAACCGGGTGTTCTTCCAGCGACTCCTGTGGCTCCTGCGGCTGCTCTTCCCCAGGATCCTGTGCCGGGAGACGGGGCTGCTGGCGCTGCACTCAGCCGCCCTGGTGAGCCGGACTTTCCTGTCGGTTTATGTGGCCCGCCTGGACGGCCGGCTGGCCCGCTGCATCGTGCGCAAGGACCCCCGGGCCTTCGGCTGGCAGCTCCTGCAGTGGCTCCTCATCGCGCTCCCCGCCACCTTCGTCAACAGTGCCATCCGCTACCTAGAGGGCCGACTGGCCCTGGCGTTCCGCAGCCGGCTGGTGGCCCACGCCTACAGCCTCTACTTTTCCCAGCAGACGTACTACCGGGTCAGCAACATGGACGGGCGGCTCCGCAACCCAGACCAGTCCCTGACGGAGGATGTAGTGGCCTTTGCCGCCTCCGTGGCCCACCTCTACTCCAACCTGACCAAGCCGCTCCTGGACGTGGCTGTGACCACCTATACCCTGGTTCGAGTGGCCCGCTCCCGCGGTGCCGGCACAGCCTGGCCCTCGGCCATCGCTGGCCTCGTGGTGTTCCTCACGGCCAACGTGCTGCAAGCCTTCTCGCCCAAGTTCGGGGAGCTGGTGGCAGAGGAGGCGCGGCGGAAGGGGGAGTTGCGCTACATGCACTCCCGGGTGGTGGCCAACTCGGAGGAGATTGCCTTCTATGGGGGCCACGAGGTGGGGCAGCTTGGGGCACCGGAAAGCGCGTAGCTGGGGGCTCAGGGGCAGGAGAGCCAGGGCTGCCTCCGGCTGATGCCAGAGGTGTGGGCCAGCCAGGGCCTTGGGCAGCTCAGATGGCACAGTAACGGAGAAGCAGGAAGGCTGGGTGGGGACTGCCCTGGGCCACTTCTGCTTCTGCTCCGCCTCACTTGTCTTGGCCTTAGGGCTGTGGACCCTAGCGATTTGAGACTAGAGTTCCCTGGTTGCCCCATGCCTCTAGCCAACAGAGAGGAGGCTCCTGCCATCTGGGGACGCGGTCTGCTGCCTGGCCCCTCCTGGGCCCCCAGACCCTTTGAAGGCTGGCCTCTGGCCCAGCTGGCTGGCCGGGCAGGCGGGCATTATGGGCATGACTCAGCCCAAGCGGAGGTTAATGAGCAGCGCGCAGCGTGCCGGCCGCAGCGGTGGTGGAGCTCAGCGCTCCAGGCCAAGGCTTCCCCCATCTGGAGCCCGAAGGCCCGCCTGGCTGTGGGGCTTGGCTGCCTCCCCGAGGCCCCGGCCCAGGATGCCGGGCCCAGGCCGCCACTGCGGCAGGACGCACTTCCTGCCTGCCCGGCAGCCACCCTGCCCCCAGCGTGGCCGCCCTTCCGCCCAGGTCCCAGTCGTGCAGCTTCCCAGCAGGCCGGGTCGGGGGGCCGGGCCAGCTACGGCCAGTAGCCCAGTAGCCCGGGCCTAGGAAAGGTTACTCCAGGCCAATGCTCCCTTTATCTCGCCTCAGCCCCTCCCCTTCCTCGCGCCTGGGGTTGCGGCTGCCTCTGGCTAGGCTCTCTGCAACTCTGGTTTCAGTTCCCAGTGTTTCTCGGGGGAGGGGCACAATGGCATCCATCTCGTGAAGGCCCATGTGTCCTCCCCGGGTCAGGTGGCCTTGTGCCCCAGACCTTGTCTCACTGGCTGCGCATCACATCAGGCAGATAGGCAGGCTTGTCTCTGATTTTTAAAAAGCGTTTATTCCTGAGCAGATAGGGGGCATCCCAGGCGTGGGCTGGACTCCAGATTAGGAGAAAAAGCGCCTGGTCTGCAGCTGCACCCCCCTCTCCTCCTCTCCTGTCCTCCAGGCCGCAGGGCCTTGGCAGGCAGCCGTGGCCTTGGGTGAGGCACTTGGCACGTTCCCCGTAGCTACATTGTCAGCTCCTGCCAGCTCCCAGCATGAGCCTGGATTGCCCAGTTGCTCATTTCAGGAACAGGAGATGGGCTTGAGGCAAAGCCACTGAGCGGTGCCGCAGACCTGGGTGGTGGGGGGTAGAAGAGAGATCACTGGCTCCTTGAAGGACTTCCTCTGGGCTAGTTTCAGCAAATCGCATGCTCACCGGGAGGATTCACCGGCCAGGGCGGGAGGGACCTTGTGAGCGTCCACAGCCTGTCTGTTTAGGCCTCAGCCAAAGGCCTGAAAGCAGTGTGGAGTGATGGGCCTTCATGGGTGGGTTGATTGCCCTTACTGTATAGGCAGGTGGCTCACCCCAGTCCCATTGGCGGATGTCCCCATGCCCAGGCTCAGATCAACAGGCTAGGGCAGAGGTGACCGGCTGGAGGGCAGACAGCAGGGTATTCTGCTGTTACTGGGATCTCGAGGCTTATTTAGACACGCGCATACAAACACACACAACCTCTTACTGGCTTGTGCCTAGGTAGACCTTTCTTCATAAGTGGAAGCATGAAGCATCGTTTACAAGAATTTGGTCCTCCTAATAGCTCAGCCAATGTGATCCAAATTCCATACCTCTTGCTACCTTCAGGCTGTGTGAGCTGGGGCAGGTCACTTTGCCTATCTGGGCTGCAATGGACATGAGAATATACACACAGTGGGGCGTGGTGAGAATCAAATGGAGAGTCAGCTGTGAAACCACTTGGCAAAGGAAACTGTTCCAGGCTGGGCAGCTATTGTCGGTCAGGGGTGGGAAGGCGGGGCTAGGGCATGTGCCCCCCGACCAAGAAATCTATGCCCCAATGGCCACCTTGCTCTGACTGCTTCCTGACCACTCCAGCCCCCTGCCTGTCTAACTGCTGCTGTCACAGGGAGCCTCTTTCTCTCCCACTCCCTCTCCTCTCTCTTCTCCAGGCCCTGCACAGGTCCCTCTCCTGAGATGGCAGGTAGTGGCCAGTGCAGGAGGGAGAGGGCAGGGGAGGCCCACTCACTGCTGAGCGGGTGGGCCGGAGTCCTCAGCTGGCTTGGGCATGGGGCTGTCCACTGAGGGCGATGCCTGCACGAGCTGGCTTGGGAGTGTGCCCTGCAGGTTCTGGTGGGAGAATGCAGTGCAAGTGTGTCACCCAGAGGAACTGTGGGAAAGTAGAGGGAGGCGGAGCCTAAGCAGGTAGAGGTTATTGAACCAAGTTTTTCAAAACCAACAACCACCTTTTGCTTTCCTGGCTGTCCTTCGCTTAGTTCAGGATAGCCCCCCAGCAGTTGCCCAAAGAAACAGGCAAGGTGGCTGCCCTCAGCCCATGTCGAGAAGCTGTCCAGGGCAAAGAGAGGGGTGTGGTGAGCACTCCAACTGAAGAGGTAACAGAAAGGAGATGAGCGTGGGCCTCGGGAGGTGGGCGGGTGAGCCCCTTCACCGCCGCTGTACCCCAATGCTGTGATGTCGATCCCATACCTCCCCCGAGTTTGAGACCTGTCCCCTGTAAACGTGGCCCAGTCCTAAACCCCGGCTCTCAACCTTGTCGTGGTCGTCATACAGCGTGGCCTGTGTGAGCGACACTTGGGGACTCTCGCTGTCGCCCCTGTGGGACTGACCGCCAGGCCGCTGGGTCTCCGGTGCCCCATCCCTGCAGGTGGAGCTGGCCCTGCTGCAGCACTCCTACCAGGACCTGGCTTCGCAGATCAACCTCATTCTGCTGGAGCGCCTGTGGTATGTCATGCTGGAGCAGTTCCTCATGAAATATGTGTGGAGCGCCTCGGGACTGCTCATGGTGGCCGTGCCCATCATCACCGCCACCGGACACGCGGCGTCAGGTGAGCGGGCGCCTGTGCTCCTGCACCGCTGGGCTAGGCTGGGGGGCCCCGTGCTCACCCGGCTCACCTGACTTTTCTACTTCTGGGCTCGGGGGGCACCCGGCAGGCCACACTCTCCCGGAGCTCCTTGCTGCCTGCCGCCCTGTGTGCGGCTCCCCTTTACGGCATCTCATGCTTCTTGGTCCCACTTGGCCAAGCCCAGGGACTGCGACTCAGGAACAGCCTTCACCAGGCGCGTGCACCCTTGCGCATCTGGCCCTGCCCTCGGCTCATCTTGGAAGTGGGTGGGTGGGGAGGTACGTCGAGGGAGCCCCCTCCTGGCTTGGGCTTTGGCTTCCCACCCACGCCTGCAGTAGCTCTTGCAGGTTGTCGAGGGCAGAGCCCCCTTCCCCAGGGCCTTGGGGGGACTGGGAGGGATTCGCATTTTGTTCTTCTGGTTTGCAAGGAATTCATTCTGTTTGCAGCCTTTTCATGGTTGCCCTTCGAAGGTTAATGTGCTTACTTGAGAACAGTCTGGGTTAATCAATAGCTCCTCCTTCTCTGGGCCCTTACTTAGAACACGTGGACTGGAGGACCAGCCGGCCTGACGTGCTGATGTCCCCAGCAACAGGTTTGCCGTTGCTTTATCCGGTTGGTGCGTGTTCAGATTCACCTGTGAGTTTCTGCTTTCTTGGCTTCCCCGCCCTTCCCCACGGCCCAGTGACCCTCCTTCAGACAGCCGTCCTTCAGAAGTCCTTACTGTGACGCTTTCATCATGGAGCTTCGAGATGATTTTCTTGTCTGAAAATGTCTTTGTTTTATCCTCCCCCTACCCCCAAACTGAAGTTCAGTTGGGTGAGGGAGTTGAGACGGACGGTCGGTTTCTCTCAGCCCATTGACAACATCCCGTTGCCTCCGTTGGAAAATCTGTTACCAGCTTAACCGCTCTCAGCAGGCTGCGTGGTCTCCCTGGTTTGACTTTTCTCTTTTTCTGCAGTTTCTTTAGGAAGCGTTTGCCTGTGTGTTTCTCTCTATTCTGGCCACTGAATACTCAGACTGTTCCATCGTTCTGGAAAGTTCTCAGGTGTTATCTTTTCAAATATTGCCTCTCTCATTCTTTTTACTCTTTCCTTCTGGAACTCTCTCGACGTGTTGGGCTTCTCACTCCTTTGTGACTGTCTGTCTCTCTTCACTTTTCCCCATCTAGCACTGTCTATGCTGAATTCTGGGAGTTTTCCTCAGATTTTCCTGCTCACACATTTGCTAGTTTTCTCTTCGGCTGCATCTAATTTGAATTTTCTTTTTTTTTGGCCACACCGCGCTGGCATGAGGGATCTTAGCTCCCCGACCAGGGATCGAACCCGTGCCCCCTGCATTGGAAGCACAGAGCCTTAACTACTGAACCGCCAGGGAAGTCCCTAATTTGAATTGTTTTTTATTTCAATGGCTATTTCTGTAAAGTTCTGCCGGCGACCATATTAATCATGCTCGTTCCATGGTCTCTGGGCAGCTATTCGGTTGTCTGAATTCTTGGGGGTCTAAGCCAGCTTTATCTTCCGTCTGCTGGTCTTCTTTGCTCGTGGTCCTTGTGGGTTCTGCAGCCTAGCTAGAGGGTAGGATTCCCCTGCGCACATTTGCTTTAGTTTTAGCCAAGCAGCTGCCCAGTAATGAACCAGTTGGAGGCCACTTTCATGTTAACTTCTCTGCTTGGGGCAGGAGGGGTCCCCACACTTGCAGGTGATATTAATTTGCAGGCCAGACACATAATTACAAATTCTCAGAGGAGACCTTTTGGTCCTTGCACCTAGAGCCCTGTCTTCTCCATCTCTGGGGATGTCACAGGAGCACCTGGCTACTGGCTTCTCTTCTCACTCCTGGGAATTTCCCTTGCTTTCCTGCAAGCACAGCTCTGATTTAAAAGGTGTTATATTTTATGCAGTTTGGTAGTAAGAGGGTTTTCAGGTATATGTAAAGAGGGAGAGCCTGACGTGCGTGTTTCAGAACCAGAAGTCTCTCTGATTCTGTCCCTATTGGTGTCTCTCCCTTGGGGCTTCCGTACCCTCAGCTGTCTGTCCCTCTCTGGGTGACCCCCAAGAGGAAAGGTCTAATTGAGGGGGTAGTTGCTTCCACCAATGGACCTACACTAAGGGTGGCCTTGATTTAGGCCAGGAGCATGGGATCGGACCCAGGAGGAAACCCAGCCGTGGTTTCCGTGAGGAAGTGCCTGTGGCCGCTTCCCTCTGAAGCTGGCACAGGGCACAGCTCAGCCTGTCTAGTCCCCGAGGCCTCTCCCTCCTCTGAAGGCCTAGGACTTTTTGGCGCCTCTGCTGTGTCGGGCTTTGTGGGCGATTCAGAGTCCTGAGCTCCTGTCCCCACCCTCATGGCCCTTATAGCCAGTCACCTGTGAACATGTGGACCGCTCCCATCCCCCTGGCTCACTCCGCTTGTCTCACTGGCCTGCTTCCACCTCAGGCCCTTTGCTCCTCTGCCACCCACGGCCCCTCCCTCCCTCTATGGGAGCTTTGCTCGCAGGCACCCTCTAGGTGAGACCACCGCCCCGCCTTTCTCTCCCCCTCCCCTGCCTCGCTGCTCTTCAAAGTGCTGAACAGCCCATCTGCTCCACGTCTGCGGCTGCCTTAGAGAGGCTCTGCCACTTCTTTAAACTCAAGGAGGCCAGAGGTTTATGTGTTTTGTCCCTGCTGTGTCCCCAGTAACTGGAGACAGAGAGCGCTGGGAACCGGGTGGGGAGGCCAGCGATTATCCACAGGGAAAGATGTAGCTACCTTTGCCTTTCTGGCCTGCCTGCATGGCGGCCTGGCCGGGAAGAGCTGTCAGGTGTCTGGCTCTGGGGCACTCATCTTAGCCCCCAAGGCTCCGGGGAAAGCTGCAGAGGGTTATGCTGTCTCCAGGGAGGGGCCCACTGTTGCCAGGGTCCCCGCGCAGACCCTTTCCCTTTGTGCGCAGTCCCTTTCCAGCTCTCAGGATGTCCGGGGAGGAGGGTTTGTGTCCCCCCTGCCTAGGGACCTTAGACTGTCAGAATCACCACTCCCCTCCCCCGCCCAGTTCCCTGGACTCCTGGTGCTCTAGCCAGCTGTCTGGCCCTATCCACCCCACACTGCACCTGCCCTGACCTGACTCCCTGGCCCTTCCCAGCCCACCCCCACCATCACATCCTTGAGGCTCCAACCTCAGATCCATTTATGCCCCTGGATAGAGTTAGCCCTCAGAGTTGGCCTCCCCCTTGCTCCCCATCACCATTTCCAGAACATTCCTTGTGTAAAAACCTTGCCCCTCTAGGGGGTCCAACGGTCAAGGGAGTCAAGGCCATTGACAGGAAAGGGTTGAAGTGAGCGACCACGGGGTCTCAATTGAGACAGAAAAGAACAAAGCAAGTCAAGACACGAGCAGGCTCTCAGGGAGAAATAGTAGCATTGAAGACAGCCACAGAATACGGCAGCAAGGGGAGAGATGAGGGCTACACGGGGTAGACCGGAGGTCTGAAAGGGGATATTCCTGTTTGAGAGGCTCGGGAGGGGCTGCCGTTGTAGTACAGGACACAATATCTGCGTTATTGAGACGTAATTAACATACCATATAATTCGGCCTTTTTAACGGGTACAATTCAGTGGTTTTTGATACAGTCACAAAGTTGTGCAACCGTCACCACTATCTAAGTCTAGAACATTGTCACCACCCCAACAAGAAAGCCCGGACCCATTAGTGGTCACTTCCCACCCCACCTGGCAGCCCCCAGCGACCACTAATCTTCCTGTTGCTATGGGTTTGCGTCTTCCGGACATTTCATATAAATGGAATCGCACAATATGTGGCCTTGTGTATCTGGCTTTTTTTACTTAGCATCGTGTTTTTACGATTCATCCACACTTTAGGATTAATCAGTACTTTATTCCTTCTTATGGCTGAATAATGTTCCATTGTACGTACATAGCTACCACATCGTGTTTATCCACTCATCCATCGGTAGACGTTTGGGTTGTTTCCATCTTTTGGCTCTTAGGAACAACTGCTACGCATACTCGTGTATCATTTTTTGTGTGGACCTCTGTCTTCACTCTTGGATATATGTACACCTAGGAGTGGAATTGCTGGGTCATTTGGTAACCCTCTGTTTAACATTTGGACGAACTGCCAAACTTGTCTTCCACAGCAGCTGCACATCGTTCATCCCCACCAGCGGTGTCTCATGGCGCCAGCTGCTCCGCTTCCTCACCAGCACTTTTACTGTCTTTTCAGCTGTAGCCACATCCTAGTGAGTGTGAAGTGGTGTCTCATTGCAGTTTTGATTTTGTATTTCCCTGGTGACCAATAAACATCTTCTCGTATGCTTCTTGGCCATTTGTGTATCTTGCAGAGGAAATGTTTATTCAGACCCTTTGCCCATTGTTTAATTGAGTCGTTTGTCTCTTCGTTGTTGAATTGAAAAAGTTCTTTATGTATTCTGGGACCTGGGACCTGGGCCCTTAGCAGATATATGCTCTGCAGATATTTTCTTCCAGTCTGTAGGTTGTGTTTTCACCTTCTGGATGACTTACTTTGGTGCCCAAAACTTTTTACTTTTGTCGAAGCTCCCCTACCTGTTTTGCTTTTGTCACTTGTGTTTTCTGGTGTCGCATTTAAGGAGCCATACCTAATCCCAGGGCACGAAGCTTTACCCCTGCTCTCTTCTAAGAGTTGTGGTCTTAGCTGTTCCGCGCAGGCCGGTGCGGCGCTGCGCTCTGCGAGCTCCTGTGTGTGGTGTGCGGTAGGGCTCCTTCCTCTGCGTGTGGGTGCCGGTTGTCCGAGCACCATTGGCTGGACAGACTTGCTCTCTGCCCCAGTGGGTCAGTTATGATTTCCCACTGTCCTCGCCACTCCCCACCCCGCTGTGCCCCGCAGACTCGGAGGTGGCGAAGAAGGTGGCCCTGGAGGCGAGGGAGGAGGAGCTGGTGAGCGAGCGCACGGAAGCCTTCACCATCGCCCGCAACCTCCTCACAGCTGCCGCGGACGCCATCGAGCGGGTCATGGTGTCCTACAAGGAGGTAACCCCCCGCCCAGCCCCCGCCCCTACCATCTCCCCTCCCTCCCCGCCCCCACTGGCGGGGGCTGAGCCACGGTCGCCCTCCCTGCAGGTGACAGAGTTGGCTGGCTACACAGCCCGGGTCCACGAGATGTTCCAGGTATTTGAAGACGTCCGGCACTGCCGTTTCAAGAGGCCCGGGGAGCCAGAGGACGCTCAGGCAGGGGCCGGGGCCGTGGTGAGGTCTGGTGTCCGTGTGGAGGGGTCCCTGCAGATCCGAGGTAAGGGAGCCCTCCCCAAAGAGGCCGCCCTGGTCCCAGCCCTCCCACAGCAGGCTGCCCGGCGCCCCACGGAGGGCTTCCTGGGCACGTTGCGGCCTCCGCAGCCCTCCCTCTCAGAGCGGCCGCCGCTGGCCACCGTGCTCACGTGCCCAGTCCCTTCCAAGTGCCCCGGCCAGGGTTTCCCTTTGCGAGAGAGGGGGGCGCAGCTCCAGTAGGGGCTGGGGCGCTGGGGAAGAGGCCCCCAGGCGTCGCAGCCGCCTTTCAGGTGGTGTGGCGCTGAGGGGCTGCAGGGGCGGACGCCACGTTCGGGCTCCAGAGGCCAGGGAACCGGCTTTGCCCCTCCGCCGCCCAGAGCACAGCAAGGGGGCTGTAGTCAGCTGGTGGGCAGCCGCACTGTATTCCCAAGGGCCCCTGGGCCACACAGTGGCGTGCCGTCGCGGGTGGGGGTCCGTGGTGCCCAGCGGCAGGTGGCGGGAGAGCTCTGCTCCCTCTCTCCCTTCCTCGCGTTCTCTCTCCAGGCCAAGTGGTGGATGTGGAGCAGGGGATCGTGTGTGAGAACATCCCCATCGTCACGCCCACGGGGGAGGTAGTGGTGGCCAGCCTCAACATCAGGGTACGTCGAAGGGCGGAGGGGAGCCCCAACCTGGCAGCACGGGCAGAGCCGAGCCCAGCTCTGGGGCCCGGGGCCTGGCCTTCTGCACGCACCTCAGCCCTCAGCATCCAGCCTGGCCAGCCTGCCCGCACTGCCAGTAGCCATTGACCCCAGGTCTACGTGGCAGGCAGGCTAAGCTCAAGGTGAAAGACCAATGTGTCTCTGACTGACTGTTAGTTCTGGGGCAGTGGAGTCAGAGCTGATTAAGAGAGACCAGTGATTACCTGGGCTGGGCTGGAGTCACCCAAAGGTTCCTGGCCCTATCGTTGGCAGCACCCCACGCCCGCCCCTGTCCCTGAGTAGCCCAAGACTTGGGGACTCTGGTGCAATTCCAGCTGTGATGAAAGAGGTTCTCTTCCACTGACCCGGGCTTGAGGTCCCACAGATTTGCTGTGAGAGGCCCCCAGGGCGGGTGTGTGCCGCGTGCAGCCTGGCCCACTGGGAGGGCTCTCAGCCATTACGTCAGCTGTCTGTGGTGAGGATGCCCTGGGGGCAGACATCCACCAGTGACCTGTGTCCCCAGCCAGAGCTTTGGACAGGGTCAGGGAGTGATAGAGTGAAGGGGAGTCCTGGGTGCAGTAGTTATTCATTCATTCATTCATTCAACTAACGTTCCCTGAGCTCCAGGCTGGGCACTGTAAACCACAGGTAAATCAGGGGAACCCCAAAGGGTTACAGAGATCCTGGATTTGGGACTTCCCTGGTGGTCCAGCGGTTAAGACTCCACGCTTCCACTGCCAAAGGGTGCAGGTTTGATCCCTGGTCAGGGAACTAAGATCCCACATGCCGCCCAGTGTGGCCAAATTAAACTTTAAAAAAAAAAAGAGAAAAGATCCATGGTTAGATGGCTGTCCCGGGTCCAGCGAGGGCCACAGGAAAGGTAGAGTAGAGGTCTGCATCCCTGGGGGAGTAGAGGTCACATGAAGCTTCACCCAGGGCAGGGACGAGGAGCCAGGGGCTTCGGGCCCAGGTCCTGCAGGGGCCACGCATGCCCCGCTGAGGAGCCAGGGCAGCAGAAGCCACGGCCAGGCAGGGAATAGGCAGGAAGGGCCAGTGCCTAGAGCTCCTTTCCTTGATCTGCTGAGAGGGGGCCTGAGAGCCAGCTGGAGGCTGGACGCAGGCCAGTGGTGCGATCCCCATCACCCCTGGCAGTAGTCACCCTTGGGGTGTGGGGCTGCCACTGACGGCCAGTTTATGCAGGGTGAATGGCTTCCAGGCAGGCCCTGTGGAAGCCCAGCTGGGCAAAGCTCAGAGGCCATGGTGGGCAGGGGCGTGGCTGGTTAGGGAGCGAGGTCAGGTGAGGAACCGGTGACCAGGGGCTGAGCAAGGGCTCTGTCCTGGCAGAGCCGCTGGTGGAGCTGGGCTCTGGGGCTGGGAGATGTTGGGGGCGGTCGGAGAGATGCACGGAAGGAGACGAGGCAGCTGTGGAGCTGGCTGGGGCCACGCAGCTCCCCCGGAGCCAGGCACACAGAGGAGCCGGGGCCTGACCGACCAGCCCTCCCACATTTGCACAGAGGTAGGCCTGGGCCCTGCCCGGGAGACTTTACAGTCTAACGAAGGAGGAACAGCAAACGAGGGGCTCAGCCAACAGAAGTTCACATCAGGGTGTCTAGGCCTCTCCCGGCTTCTGGTGTTTTGCCTTCATCTTTTTTTTTTTTTTTTTTTGGGCC